ACACACACACACACACACACACACACACACACACACACACACACACACACAGAGTGTACACATAATTAGATTTTTATTTCAACTGTTTTGGAGGGGGAAAATGAGAGAATCTGAGGAAATGTTTTAGGCAGAGGGAGGAGGTCTGGAATAGACTTAGAGAAGTGGGAGGGCCCCTGAGGACCAGGCCTTGCTCAGGCACCCACTCTTTCCTCAGTGAGCTAATTATGGGAGAGGACCCTGCACAGCCTCGAAAGTATAAGAAGAAGAAGAAGGAGTTACAGGGAGATCTGCCTCCCAGTTCACCTACTAATGATGTAAGTTCTCTTTTTCTCCACTGCAGCCCAGGGACTGAGTTCTCTGAAGTTGTCACAACCCTGAGCAGTTCAGTCCTGGCCTCTTCAGGAGGCTGGGATTTGTCATAGGAGCTGGGGTGCTTCCAGGAGTCGTAGCCTGGTTCTTTCTGACCTAGTCCTTCCTAGTGTGCTGCTGGGTTTGATTTAGGGGCCAAGGGGAGAAGACAGAAGACTAGAACTCAACTCAGGCCATAGCTGAGGAAATTATAATCCAACTTGATACCAGTGCTAGGACAGGGCAGCAGAACTCTCAGCTGTTCCCTTGATCCTTGCGATGTCTTCATTCTACAGCCTACAGTGAAATATGAGACTCAGCCTCGGTTTATCACAGCCACAGGAGGCACCCTGCACATGTATCAGCTGGAAGGGCTGAACTGGCTGCGCTTCTCATGGGCCCAAGGCACTGACACAATTCTGGCTGATGAGATGGGCCTGGGCAAGACCATCCAAACCATCGTCTTTCTCTACTCACTTTATAAGGAGGTGTGTGGTGGATTCTAGGCCCCTGAGGGTGTGAGTCCTAGCCCAGACTCGGGTGGAGGATAGAAGCTATAGCAGACAGCAGGGCAGACTGGTGTGTGGTGCTTGAGTCAGGACTAACGGCATTCCACCTTTGACTCCCAGGGCCACACAAAAGGACCCTTCCTGGTGAGTGCTCCACTCTCTACCATCATCAACTGGGAACGGGAGTTCCAAATGTGGGCACCCAAGTTCTATGTGGTCACATACACGGGTGACAAGGACAGCCGGGCTATTATTCGAGAGAATGAGTTCTCCTTTGAGGACAATGCCATAAAAGGCGGGAAGAAAGCTTTTAAGATGAAGGTGAGTCTTGGTCTCCTGCTTCAAGATCCTTGGATCTGCCATTTCTTTGTCCCAGCCAGGAATTCCTCTCCTTCTCTTTGTGCCTCTGAACTCCATCATAGATTCTCCTGGAAGCATGCATGAGTCTGTCAGTCCTGGGCATGGGGTAGCTTCCTGAGGGAAGCACAGGACATGGTTTTGATAAAGGGCAGAGGCTAGGGGGGTAGGCAGGCATGTGTTAAGTGGCAGCTGAATGGGTAATGGTTACATTGGCAGAGAGAGGCTCAAGTGAAGTTCCATGTTCTCCTGACATCATATGAGCTGATCACCATCGATCAGGCAGCGCTTGGCTCCATCCGCTGGGCTTGTCTTGTGGTGGATGAAGCTCATCGCCTCAAGAACAACCAGTCCAAGGTGAGTGAGGCTCCAGCCAAGGCTGTGGACTCCATTGTCTTGATCCTTAAAACAAATCCTTTGGGGGAGTTGTAGCCTGGAAGGAAGGTTCCTGAACTATCTTGGGCAAGGACTGTGCTGGAAGAGGGGATGGAGCTAGGGATTCGGGGCCTCTGATCCTGAGGGAAATGGGAATTCAGGAGCTGGCAGTAGGGAAATGTCTCTGAGGTGAGACAGCCACTTGCCACTGATAACCCTTCTCCTGCCTGTCCTTGTCTCACGCTCTAGTTTTTCAGGGTCCTCAATGGCTACAAGATAGATCATAAGTTGTTGCTGACGGGGACCCCACTGCAGAATAACCTGGAGGAGCTCTTCCACCTTCTGAACTTCCTTACTCCAGAGAGGTTTAAGTAAGTGGCGGGGAGGAAAGACAGCACCAAGAATTCTAGGAGAAGATTCCTCTGAGGTAGGAAATAGAGCCTGAGATCAGAGGCAGGGAACTGTCACCTCGTCTGTTTTCTTCTCTTTGTGTCTGCTAGCAACTTGGAGGGCTTCCTGGAAGAGTTTGCTGACATATCCAAAGAGGACCAGATTAAGAAACTTCATGATTTGCTGGGGCCACACATGCTGCGGAGACTCAAGGCAGATGTCTTTAAGAACATGCCGGCCAAGACAGAGCTCATTGTCCGAGTGGAGCTAAGCCCCATGCAGAAGTGAGACTTGGGGCAGGGTGTCTCTACTGGGGAGTGGGATTTGCTAATAGTAGCTTTCCAATAATTGGGACTAAGTGTCATGTTAGAAGTAGTTGCTGATGAGTGTTGGTGGCGCACGCCCTTAATCCCAGCACTCGGGAGGCAGAGGCAGGTGGATCTCTGTAAGTTTGAGACCAGCCTGGTCTCCAGAGCGAGTTCCAGGATAATCAGGGCTACACAGAGAAATCATGTTTCAAAAAAAAAAAAAAAAGAAAAAGAAAAAGAAAGAAATTAAAAATAAGTGTTTCTTTCTTATTATCCCTTGTACATCCCTACCCTGGTCTTTAGGAAATACTACAAATACATCCTAACTCGAAATTTTGAGGCCTTGAATTCTCGAGGCGGTGGGAACCAAGTGTCACTGCTCAACATCATGATGGACCTTAAGAAGTGCTGTAACCACCCGTACCTCTTCCCTGTGGCTGCTATGGTAGGAACAGAGCAGGGAGGCTCCGTGTTGAGTGGAGGGGTGGAGCTGGGTTTCAGGGCCCAGGTTCTGACCTGGGAAGGGTAGGAACTGAAAAGTACAGGAGCTGTATTACCCTTTTGGCTTTCTCCGCACAGTAGGAGTAAGGAGTATGCTCTTTTCTCCCCGCCCCCCTTTACAGGAGTCTCCCAAACTCCCCAGTGGGGCTTATGAGGGTGGGGCACTGATTAAGTCATCAGGGAAGCTCATGCTGCTGCAGAAGATGCTTCGAAAGCTGAAAGAACAAGGACACAGAGTGCTCATCTTCTCACAGGTGACCCATCCCCTGCTCTCTCCTTATCTGTGCTCTGTTTCCTTGCACCAGCCAGACTTTAATTTCTGTCCTCATTCCTGCAGCTGCTTTAGTATGAAAGACTGAGACCCTGCTCCTAAGCATGTCTTGACTCAGGCAGGCAAGGAGCGCATGCCAATAATCCCTGAAGTTGGAGAGACCCTGCATTCGGATAACAGAAAGAGGGCAAGGGGCTAGAGATGGTGCAGTGGTAGAGCCCTTGCCTAGCTTGCATGAGGCTGTGATTAGATCCCTACCACTGGAAAACCAATGAAATAAAAGTGAAGACCTGGGCTGGGTGTGGTGGTACACGCACACCTTTAACTCAGCCCGGTCCACATAACCGGCTCCAGGCGGTAAAGACACAGCAAGTCCCTGTCTTTAAAAACAAAGCAAGGCTTGGCATGCCTGGCTCATCCTGGATCTGATCCCTGTTCCTAAGGCTAGTGTGGTTGATGGCCTTGTGAATGAATAGCAGGTAGGGAGTTCCGACCCTTTAGGATCCTGATGAAAGGTACCCTCCTCTACTTCCGAGAAAGCCGCTACCAGTTTTATGAGATTTTCAAAGTATTTATAGGTTTCTCAGAAACTGCTTCACGTGTCTCAGAGTACCTGTGCCTTATAAGAAAAGGTCTTAAATCAAGAGTTTCAAAGAGCAGTAAGGTCTGGGGAGATGGAGTGAGTGTCTCTGAGAACATGAGAGGGTGGGTGTGTTTCAGTGTAAGGTTTGGGGATTTGTTGTAGTCAAGTGTTACTTTGGGGAACTAGGCCCAAGCTACTGTCGTGGCCTTCTGGACTCCTACTGTCCCTTGTTTTAGATGACCAAAATGTTAGACCTTCTGGAGGACTTCCTAGACTACGAAGGCTACAAGTATGAACGCATCGATGGCGGTATCACTGGTGCCCTTAGGCAGGAGGCCATTGATCGGTTTAATGGTGAGGATGAAATACCCTGGTCCTTATGGCTATGGAAGTCTGACAAACTTCTGCTATGTCCTTAGGATGGGTGGTGGTGAGGGGTTGTTGGAAACTTAGACTTTTGAGTTAGGATGTAGTGATTTACAGTCAAGAACATCTAGCAGCCAGTGAGAAACTTGGCCTCCTCATTCCTACCTTCTAGCTCCTGGTGCCCAACAGTTCTGCTTCCTTCTGTCCACCCGAGCTGGGGGCCTGGGCATCAACTTGGCCACTGCTGACACTGTCATCATCTTCGATTCTGATTGGAACCCCCATAATGACATCCAGGTGGGAACTTGCCTTTTGAATCCCGGGTAACATTTGGCAAGTTGACATGGGTTCATGGAGAAGGTTGTCCTGTTCAGGTGTGCGTCTTAGGAGAGAGGAGAAGGCCTTTCCCTACCAGCCTCCTTTTCTGACTGTGTGTCAGCTTTGCTATGCCACTCCCCTGGCTGACCATTCTCTCTGCCCCTGTAGGCCTTCAGCAGAGCCCATCGAATTGGCCAGGCCAACAAAGTGATGATTTACCGGTTTGTGACCAGAGCGTCTGTGGAAGAACGAATCACACAGGTGGCTAAGAGAAAGATGATGCTGACCCATCTGGTGGTGAGGCCTGGCCTGGGCTCCAAGGCCGGCTCCATGTCTAAGCAGGAGCTGGATGACATCCTCAAATTTGGCACCGAGGAGCTTTTCAAGGATGAAAATGAGGGTGAGAACTTTCTACAGCTCCCTAAAGGTAGTTCCTGTTCTTTATTCTGAAAAACAAAACAAAACAAAAAACCCTACTTCTTCTCTCAGCCTGTGAAGGAAAACCACCTTCTTTCTAGTAGTCCTCAGAAGGGTTGGCCACCTAAGGAAACAAAGCAAAGAACCCCTGACATGAGCTCCTGGGGAGCAGTTGTTCTCTCCAGGACTCAGTGAGGAGGAAGTGGAGTATCCCACCCGTCCTGCCTAAACTGCCTGAGCTTCTGGCTAGTGCTTCAAGTCCTTTCTGTTCCTCGTCTCTGCCAGGGGAGAATAAGGAGGAGGACAGCAGTGTGATCCACTATGACAATGAAGCCATTGCTCGACTGCTGGACCGAAACCAGGATGACACCGAGGATACTGACGTGCAGAACATGAATGAATATCTCAGCTCCTTCAAGGTGGCACAGTATGTTGTGCGTGAAGAAGACAAGGTGAGAGGCTTTGGGACCACACCCTGTCTGTCCAAGGCCATCTCTGAAGGGCAGTGCCCTTCACTAAATTTTGAAATTTTATTCTATTCTCTTACTATGGCCCCCAGCAAAAAGCAACAGTGGGCCGCAAGCAATTTCTCATTCTGATACATGAGACTGGACTTTGGAGAGAGACATAGGCACAGAAAGTTCTAGTAGTCACAGAACTACTAGAGTCTGTGGGAGGAAGTAAGGGGAAGTGGAGGAGAGATTTAGAGAAGGGGCCAGCACATTGCAAGGAGGAGGTGATAGGAAAAATATATAGTGTCTAGAAACTGTATGCTGACCTGAAGACAGGTTAGGAAGTATCAGCAGGATTTGGCCTATGCAGGGGAGAGGGATTTTAATGCAGCCAAAGGACTAGTGAGAGGGAGGCTGCCAGCCTTCCCTCTGCTGCCTTTCAGATTGAGGAGATTGAGCGAGAGATCATCAAGCAGGAGGAGAATGTCGATCCCGACTACTGGGAGAAGCTGCTGAGGCACCACTATGAACAGCAGCAAGAAGACCTTGCCCGAAACCTAGGCAAGGGCAAGCGGGTCCGAAAGCAGGTTAACTACAACGATGCCGCTCAGGAGGATCAGGGTGAGGACTGCCCCTGACAAGAGATGGGAAGGGAAAATGTGATGGAGAGAGCTTTGTCTGTCAAGGCTATGGAGCAGGCAAGAGGCCAAGTGATGGGGAAGGGCCAAAAGGAACTTTTCTAAGGCCAGATGGATTTGTGGGGATTTAACTCTCCAGGGACTACAGAGGGAGCCTGTGAACACCTTGGGACCCACTGTTTAGAGTAGCTTTGACAGGAGTCAGAATGGTAAAGCAGGAGGTACCTACAGACTAAAGATGGCTGTGGATGTATGACTAAAGGATATGTGACCCAGCATCACTAGCAGGACCAAGGCCCAGGTGGAGGTGGAGAAATGTCCAAGAGGAAGAATCCAAGGGGAAAGGGTTCCAATATGGATAAAAATGACCATTGAGCCCTCTTTGTCTTCACAGATAACCAGTCAGAATACTCGGTGGGTTCGGAGGAGGAGGACGAGGACTTTGATGAGCGTCCTGAAGGTGGTCTCTTGTCTTGACTTCCTGTCTCAGCCCTTTCTGTTTCATTTCCTAGCTTTATTTAAGCCCACTATTTTTTTTTCTTTTTTTGGTCACATTTGGAACATATAGCCATGTGTCAGATGCTCTCAGGTCAAAAAAGGTACTTAGGTGTGGTGATACACACCTGCAGGCCCAGCTACTTGTCCTGGAGTTGCTTAAGTCCAGGAACTGGAGGCCTGGGCAACACAGACCTCATCTAAAAGTACAAATACACGTATGCTAAAACTAAACAGGAAGATTATGTTAGTTTACTTTCCCATGAGTAACATTGTCTGTCAGATATTTGTTATTAATTTTTACTTTATTTTATTTTTCTGGTTTTTCAAGACAGGGTTTCTTTGTGTAACAGCTCTGGCTGTTCTGGAACTCACTTTGTAGGCCAGACTGGCCTGGAACTCACAGAGATCTGCCTGCCTCTGCCTCCCGAGTGCTGGGATTAAAGGCGTGCGCCACCACCCAGCCCTTGCATCAGCCCCCCACAAAAATAGTGGGCTTATTATTAATTTTTAAATGTGACTTCTTTTGGCCTTACTAGGTAGTATTGCTGACAACATACTTGGAAGAAAGTTAGAGGCCATCATAGCACAGGCTAGCTCTGAGTTTTATATGTTATGGGATGGGTGCAGAAGAAGACTGAAGGCTTAGAGGAGGTGGAGACTCTACTAACCAGTGTCATCCTTACCTTTAGGGCGTCGACAGTCAAAGAGGCAGCTCCGAAATGAAAAGGACAAGCCGCTGCCTCCACTGCTGGCTCGAGTTGGGGGGAACATTGAGGTGAACTTTGGCCCAGGCCCCTTGCATGATCTCTAAGGAGCACCAGCAGTAGAAAGGTCTGCAGACTCCTAATTATTCATGGGCCTGCCTCTTCCCCCACCTTCAGGTTTTGGGATTCAATACCAGACAGCGGAAGGCCTTCCTTAATGCTGTGATGCGCTGGGGCATGCCACCGCAGGATGCTTTCACCACACAGTGGCTAGTGCGCGACCTGAGGGGCAAGACTGAGAAAGAGTTCAAGTGAGTGGGAATGATTCGGGGGTGAATTGACTAGGGGCTCAGAGCTTTGGGGATTACTTTCTTCCTCTGGGCTACCATATGATGTGACCTTACTCAGCTGATCACCACCTCCCTAGCTTACGACACGTCCAGGCTCTGTTTCCTGGGATGTGGGCTCAGCCTAACCCACATCCCCTCAGCAGAGCCTAGAATAAAGGGGCCAGGCCTCCTCCCTCATGGGAGGGGTGTTTGAGGAAGGAGCCTCTCCCAGGCTAGCCTGGCCTCACATTTACTTGGCCATGATAACTTGGCAGGAGGAGCTGGTGAACAGGATGAAAAACTGACTGATGGGGCCCAGGAACAAAGTGCCAAGTCCCAAGAGCAGCAGTGGGAGAGCTGATGGGAAGATGAGTGAATGAGTTAGGGTGTGGGGGGCTGATGGGAAGGTCAGTGAATGAGTTAGGGTGTGGGGGGCTTATGCAAGTGAGTCTTGGAAGCACCTGGGGAGTTGAAGTTCACTAGGTCAGTGATCTCTGCATCTTCCTTGTTGCTTGAACCCCTCCCCCCTAAGACATTGCAATCCTCCTTCTACCCATGCTTTTCAGGGCCTATGTGTCTCTGTTCATGCGCCATCTATGTGAACCTGGGGCAGATGGTTCTGAAACCTTTGCTGATGGGGTCCCTCGGGAGGGGCTGAGTCGCCAGCAGGTGTTGACCCGCATTGGAGTCATGTCTCTCGTCAAGAAGAAGGTATTAGTGTTTCCTCACTCAAGCATCTGGCCAGCTGCTTGGTCTCTGTCCTTCCTCTGTCTTTGATCTCTTACTTCTATATCTGGCTGGTATAATACAGAGGAGACTAGGGCTTCCTAAGCCCCCAGTGCCAAGAACTGACCCTTGTCCCTGCAAACCACCTTCCCTAGGTGCAAGAATTTGAGCATATCAATGGACGCTGGTCAATGCCGGAGCTAATGCCTGACCCCAGTGCTGACTCCAAGCGCTCTTCCAGGGCTTCCTCTCCAACCAAAACATCTCCCACCACTCCTGAGGCTTCTACTACCAACAGTCCTTGCACCTCTAAACCTGGTAACTGGGAGTCAGGACGATGGGGGAACAAGGGCAGTAGATGTCAGGGTAGAAAACCTCTGCTCCCTCCCTCCAATTAGGCTGTTTGTGTGATTATAATGAGATACATGAATTTGGACAACTTTATATAGGAAATAGGTTTATTTGAGCTCATGGTTTTGGAGGTTCAAGGTCAACAGCTACATCTGGTGATGACCTTCTTACTTGTAGAACCTTGAGGTCACACGGTATATCACATGGTGAAATGCAAGCATGTTGTATGTCCTTCCCTCTCCCTCTTAAGAGCCACCAGGATTCAGTTGGAGGGGGCTTTACCCCTGACCTTATCTAATCCTGATTATCAACTCCAAACCCCACTGTAAATACTGTTCGTAGATTCAGTTTCTACCATTTATTACCTCACACTGGGCATTAAATTTCAACACATGAACCTTTGGAGAACACTTAAGCCATATCCAAACCATAGCATTCTGCTTTCACCCACAGCTACTCCTGCTCCAAGTGAGAAAGGAGACAGCGTAAGGACACCTCTTGAGAAGGATGACACTGAAAACCCAGAAGAGAAGCCAGAGAAGAATAGCAAAATGGGGGAAAGGATGGAGACAGAGGTGTGTGATCCCTGGATCTCTCTGAGGAGTCGTAGTGGGAGGTCTGGAGGGGTCTTGGTGACCAGGTACCTAGGAACTCTTTAGCTCATCTAGACTCTACTGTCCTCCACCAGGTTGATTCTCCCAGCCCAGCCCCATCACTTGGAGAACGACTAGAACCACGGAAGATTCTGTTAGAGGATGAAGCACCAGGGGTGCCTGGAGAGGTGGAGTCTGAACCTGGGTACCGAGGAGACAGAGAGAAGTCTGGTGGGTGATTATCCTAGTGCTGAAGGGGATTTGAATTTTGGAGTTCTGTCTCCTGGAGTTGGAATGAGTAACATCCTCCCTTCCTCACTCTATCCACAGCCTCAGAGCCAACACCAGGAGAAAGGGGGGAGGAGAAACCGTTGGATGTACAGGAACACAGGGAGAGACCGGATGGGGAAACAGGGGATTTGGGCAAGAGAGGTAATGGATGGAAGGACTGGACATCTGAGTCCCTGAGGGAACCAGGGGCGGTAGAATCTGGGGGAACTAAATGCCTGGGTCTTGTGGGGGTAGTTGTTGGAAGAGCCAGCATGGTTTATGTATTAAGTAGTCCTGGGACCTAGAGGAAGGCTGCCCCGAGGTGTGAGCTTTGCCCTGTTTGGCCTAGCAGAGGATGTAAAAGCAGAGCGGGAGCTTCGACTTGGGCCTCCTCGAGATGAGCCACGGTCCAATGGGCGCCGTGAGGAAAAGGTGGAGAAGCCGAGGTTCATGTTCAATATTGCCGATGGTGGTTTCACAGGTGCGAGTTGTCGTCTGTTACCTGCTCATCACTGTCCATTCTGGGCTTTCTCATTGTACCCTAGGCCACCTGCTACATTTCATTCCAAGTACTTTCAGTGAGATAGTGCATGTTGACAATGAGCCTTCCCACTCTAATACAATTTTTTTGTCTTAATCTTAATGTGAGCCTGTTCATAATTAACTTACCTCCTAACATAACATAATGTTTTCCTATTTTTTCATTTTTTAAAGATTTTTTTAAAGATTTATTTTTTATTTTATGTATACAAGTGCTGTATTGACTTTATGCCAGATGAGGGCATCAAATCCCATTACAGATGGTTGTGAGCCACCATGTGGTTGCTGGGAATTGAACTCAGCACCTCTGGAAGAGCAGCCAGTGTTCTTAACCTCTGAGCCATTTCTCCAGCCCCACATTTTCCCACTTTTTTAAATTTAATTTTTTCTTTTCCCTCCTTTCTTTCTTTCTTTCTTTCTTTCTTTCTTTCTTTCTTTCGTTTTTCAAGACAGGGTTTCTCTGTGGCTTTTGGAGCCTGTCCTGGAACTTGCTCTTGTAGACCAGGCTGGCTTCAAACTCACAGAGATCCTCCTGCCTCTGAAATTTAATTTTTTCATGTTTATTTTATGTCTGAGTGTTTGCCTGCATGTATGTATGTGCACCACATGTATGTAGTACCCTCAGAGGTCAGAACAGGGTGCTGGATCCCCTGTAACTGGAGTTACAGATGGTTTGAGTTACCATGTGGGTGCTGGGAATTGAACTCTGGTCCTCTGGATGAGCAACAAGTGCTCTTAACCGCTGAGCTGCCTCTCTCACCCTACTCACAGTTCTTAAGGGGCCTTTAGTACTCTGCCATCCCTCAGCTTTCCATCTGTGCATGACTGTTGGAGGCATTTGGTCACAAACCTCTGATGCTTCTGCTCGTCTCTTCACAGAGCTGCACACGCTGTGGCAGAACGAAGAAAGGGCAGCCATTTCCTCGGGGAAACTCAATGAGATCTGGCACCGAAGACATGATTATTGGCTTCTGGCTGGGATCGTCCTGTATCTTTTGTGTATATATGCAAGATTAAGAAAGTTCTCTCAGCTAGGAGCAGAGGTGTCCCAGTCATGTTTCTGTTGCTGTGATAAACACCATGACCAAAAGCAACTTGAGGAAAAGTTTATTTCATCTTACAACTTGTAATGCATCTTCCAGGGAAGTCAGACCAGGAATTCAAGGCAGGAACCTGAGGCAGGAACTGATGCAGAGACCATTGAGGAGTGATTACTGGCTTGCTCTTCATGGCTTGGGTTTGCTCAGCCTGCTTTCTTACAGCATCCAGAGCCACCAGTCCAGGGGTGGCACCACCTACAATGAGCAGGGTCCTCCCACATCAATCATTAATTAAGAAAATGCCCTATAGGTTTGCCTACCTTATTTAGGCATTTTCTCAACTGAGGTTCAGATAACTCTAACATGTGTGAGGTTGAGAAAAACAGGACAGAGGGGAACTACAGGTCGAAGAAGGGTCCACACTTAGGGCAGGAAGGCTTGTGCCACATTCTGGGGAAATCTGGCCAATAAGAAGCAATGTTCACAGTCAAGTCCATTCAGTTAAATTCCTTGATAGTTCCCTTTTCTCCACTGGCAGTCATGGCTATGCCCGGTGGCAAGACATCCAGAACGATGCTCAGTTTGCCATTATCAACGAACCATTCAAAACTGAAGCCAATAAGGGGAACTTCCTGGAGATGAAAAATAAATTCCTGGCCCGGAGGTTCAAGGTGGGGATGAAAAAGGAAAGAAGTAGGGTGAAGCAAGCCTTGGGTCAGAAGTTGTCTAGCGGGAATGTTAACTTCTTGAAAGTTGTGTCTAAGACCCCAGTGTACTCTTGTGGTGGAAACTGTGTACTGCATCGGGGTTGATGTTGGGGTCACATACTGAGGAACTGGAGTTTCCTGGGTCAAGACAGGAAACTCCCTAGTGCTGTGTCCTCTGCTCACCTGTGTGTTCACCTCTGTCCCATCCCCTTTTCTCCT